AAGGTGACGCCTGTGACTGATTTTCTGTTTATGTTGTTTCATTTTTACTGAGCTGAAATTTGGTGTCAAACATGATCTACGTCCAAGCTTACAGTAAACCACCTTCAAATTGCTCTAGAAGTCTTTTGATGAGTAGTTTGACTCAAACAGCAGCGTGATGTCATTTTCATTGTTCTTATGAAAGAAAAATTATGTTACATTTATCATTTCTATGCCAGGTCACAATTTCTGTGTTTGGAAGCGAAAAATACAAACAGACTTTACACAGACAGACCAAACATCGGCCGTACTGGAATTCCTGTGATACAGCACCACATGAAAGAGGTAGCTGTACTTCAGCAGAGGAATTCCTGTGGTGATGAATGTGATCCTGGGATACATGTGTTGTGGTATTTTTGTGGTATCCTGAGACGTGCTGGCCCTTTCTGGATAATTTACCATAAGATGTTTGGTGAGCAGTCTTACTGTAAAAAGGTTTCCTACGTGAATTCAAATACTGAAAGCTTGTTTGTCATTGCAGGGAAGTTAATCTGATTATATATCCTTTAACAAATAACTGAGGTTTGTCTTTGATTGGTGGCAGTGAGTAAAGCAGCTATTTTGGAAGGTAAATGTATTTGCTTTCTTGTTACAAGTACCTACAGCTAAATACCCGTTAGCTTAGAGACAAAGGGGCTCAGCTGGTCTGTCAGACATATTTAGTTTAATCATTTCAAAAACTCAAGGATCAACAATCTGTTATATTATAAAGGGTTATGTTTTAAAACTTTCAGCAAGTAGCAGCTAACAAAGATTGTCTTCCTAAACCAAACCAATCAAATTGAATTAAATTAAGATAACACTCAAAGTCAGCTAAACTTCAGGGATGTTAATCTGTTCAGTTAGGAAGCAGAAACCTTCATGTGCTTTGGTGTAAATGAAAGTGGCAACAGGTGCACCAAAGAGGCAGCAACAAGACAACCTGCAGAAAGGGAGGGATTTGGCAGATGGAGGCCACAGACCATAGGAAGGACCATAGGAAGCTGCACGGGGCTGTAGAAGGCCATCGACCCGGCAGCATGACTGCTCTCTGCTCTTTTGTGTGAGGAGAAACAGGAGGCACTGCCAGAACTCCATGGAATTACCTCTCCGTACATCCATCTGTGTTGTTGTAAGATTTGTTGTGTCTCACAGCACAGTCACAATAGTGTGGAGGATATCAGGAAGAGAGCTGGACAGGGCCGTAGAAGGCCAATAACCTGGCAACAGGAGGAGCACATGGAACCAGAGCTCCATGAAGTGACCTCCAGCAGCCTACTCATGTGCATGTGTCAGGTAGCAGTACGCTAACAAATATTTTTAATTTTATGCAGAAACACAGTTGGCAAAATATTTTTATTGTAGCTCTGGAAGCTTTCTCTTGGAATTTCACCTGTTCTAAGCATTCCAGGTTCACTTTTCGTGTTGCCACAGGTCATTTAAATCTTCAGGCAACACTTTTTGGATCATGCAGAAACCATCAGCTTTTTTCTTACACTGTGGTCATTTGAATGCATTCCTGAAAGCTTAAACAAAAAACTATGCAGATTAAAGTTTTGGCATAAATCACATGACTGCCTAAAGTGGAACTCTCGGTCACCTTATACCAGGCAGTGTTGAATAACTGAGCCACAGCTGTGTTACAAAATGTCTTGTAGATTATTTTACAATTTTTCAAAATGCTTTCAAGCAGGACTGGTGCATTTCCCCCTGCATTTCCCGTCCCTTAGGTTTGCACATCAGTGCCGTTCTCTTTGTCTTTTCATCCCTTCATCTAAAAACATCTTCAGTCCCTTCATGGCTTCAGGCCCAGAATACGACTGTCTCTGTTTTCTCAGTTTAGCCTAATCACACTTTGCTTAGACAGCTCATCAGCATCCTTCAGCGAGGCCAAACCTAAAAACGACCCGGGAGAGCCCAGGTGACGCCTGAGCAGAAGAAGTAGAAGTGAAGAGAGACTCGCTAATGCTGGTGGAGTGATGTGAAGACATCCGTGACCGTTGGATGGGAAAGACCGGCGTGAAAAAATGGAGATATGAAAGACTTCCATAATAGAGTCTGGTATGTAACATCATACAGTGCAGATGTCATGTTATCTTCTCTGCCTACGTTTCCCTCGATTAAACCTCAAACCAAGACTTTTGCTTCCACCTGGGTCATGGAGCTGACATCTTATAGCAAAATTTTATCACCCATCTTGTATTTATCAGACGTGAGTGCGATTCGCTCTGATCACATCGTACAGGAATGGCAGCTACTTCCACCAGCCCACATGTTTCATAACAACCACAGCCCAAAGCGCCCTGACGGGCCCACCGTCCTCCGGGCATTCTGTGTACAGATTGAAATCATAACAAACCTCTTCCTCACAGAATCCCACCACATGACTTCATTCTGGGTGTGGGAATTATGGCATCCAATCAAAATAACCTTCTCATGACCTCAGTTTGGCTAGAGCTTCTTCTCCGATACCACACGGAGAGGAATGACTTCATATGTGAGGAGGAAGAGGCCTGTCAAACAAATGGGCTTTGTTTTTCTTTGCGCTCATTCATGCTGATTGTCACAAATAAGGATGAGAAAAAGTTCAAAGCTTTGGGTTAGCTGCAGAGTGCGTGCACGTTAAGGTGATTTTGCATCTTTAGATAGGCCGCCTGGAGAAATGATTCATGACAACAGAAGTAAAGGAATCTGAAGAAGCAGAGAAGTGTATGCATGGGTTTATGTCCGCTGCAGCAAGGTTTCACTTTATGGAACAAAATATGACATCAGCACCACGCCCAGATAATCCAGCAACTGCTACTCCTGAACGCAACTGCTCTGACAAACAGGGAGTGAATGCATCAGTGTCCATCTGACATAACTCCTCAGGGAGTACGTGAGTCTGTTCGCCGCTGCCTCTTTTGTTTGCTTTGGTTTCCACATAGAGATAAGAGCGTCATTATGTGCACCGAGCCCTGCTCCTTGGTGACCAGACAGGACTTTCACTTTAGTAACAGAAAGACGCAGACCGCCATGACTCCTTGTGCATCACCCGTAACTGTGATTTGAAATCTTTAAACTTTCTGTCCTGGTCAGACAAGAAAGCAGAGGAGCTCTGGGTTTATGTTTCGGAGCATTACCATCACTCACTGCTGATCTCTGCCATGGGCCACATGCAAAGTGCTTTCACTTCACTGTTTACATTATCATAATTTACACGCATGCAGAATAAAGGACAGTTTATGCTCCTTACATTAGCGTATATGATATCAAATCTGAGAGCATATACTGGACTACTGCTGGCAAAATATTACAAAACCATCTGTATGAGCCGTGATGAACTGTAGCATTGAAAAGGAACCATTATGTCCTTAATGTGATGTACTGTTTTGAAAGGAGAGACGATGAGATTTTGCGAATATTTAAATATATTTTTACTGCTTAGATATTTTACAGTTAAGACAAAGTTTTAAAGTTCAGTGCAGAGTTAGAAGAGCTGCTAGACACCTTTCATTTTAGCATTTCCTTTTCATTCAACAGGTCACATCTGTCTTCGTGCTTGATTCTAGAGTGAGGTGCCCTTTTCATTTTCACCTCCTGCTGGGAATCATGCATTCCTCTTCCCATCCTCTTCATCTTCCTCCATCCGTACTGCTCCTCTCCTCTTGCCTGGCCCCATCTCCGGCATCCCTGTCCTTAAATGTCCTCTGCCCAGATCCAAACCAGCTCAGACTCACCTATTTCTTTGTCTCTAAGCCTTCCATCCTACGCCATGTTTTACTTATTCTTTTTCATCATCGCAAATCAGCGTGTCAAGAAAATGTGCCACTGGTGCCGGGCTTTTATAACCAGTAAAGATACACAGTTCCCAGCAGTAATGAGCTCTTCAGTTATGATCTAAACTACATGGACTAGATGTTGTCTTTGCTTTTCAGTATATATTTATTTATGCTGGACTTGAGAGCGAACTACCCCACATATAAAACAGGTAGGTGAACCAAGGTTAGGTGTGTTTATACTCACTCTGACTCAGCAGCACCCTGGCAGCAGCTCTTCCCATTGATGCAGAGCACAATTACTGCACCTCAGATTCTGCTCGCCTCCCTAAATTAGATTGTTTTCTGCAAGCAGGGCCAAAAAGACAGCCTGGCTGCCAAAGTCCTGGAGAGTTTGGCCACGCTCAACCATCCCAAGACGGCAATTGGCGGTTACTCGGCCACTGTTAGGGCTTGGGTGGCTGCTGTCACTGGACTTTCCCAGCCTGTGAGAATGGCACAGCACTGTTCAGCTGTCACCGAGGGTCAGCGGGGAGAGTTGGCTCTCTGAATGGCCGGCCAAAACATCTAGCATTCAGCTAGCCTCAGCTGCTAGTGGCACCCGTGCTGGCAGCAGTGGATGAGTTAAATATAGAAGTATACTTCTGGCTTTTGTGACTCTGGTCAAAAAGCACAGAGAGGGACGATGGTGGATGTGGCTTGGAGAAAAGATCTGGCCCTGTGACAAAGGACATCACAGTCCACCTCACCAGGCAACGGCCTCTTTCAGACAGAGCGGGAAGAGAATAGCGCATGCCCCCCTCCACACACACACACACACACGCACACACACACCGCTCATCAACTGGCTTCTTGAAGGGATAGGAGGGAAAGAAAATGAGAGGTGTGTGCTAGCCTGCTATGTGAAACAGAACTGGATAGGCTGTGGGAGCGAGAGAGGGCGTGTGTGTGTGTGTATCTGTGTGTGTGTGAGAGAGAGGGAAGTTACAGTCCTCTGTTATTGCTCTCTACCATTCCCTTCTTGACCCGACGACCTAAAAGAAGAGAGGCAGGGAGAGAGTGAGAGAGCAGGGAAGCAGACACCACCAGTGGACCACACAAGCCAGAGGATACGAGTGGACTCTGTATTTCCTTCTTGCCTTTTATTATTTTTGATTCTAGGATTACTTGCTGTGTTTACTAACTGGTTAAACATTCTGGAAACATCAGAGCGGCAGGTGAGTGATCATCTCTTGCATCTCTCATGCTGGAAAAAAAATCTCTGCTATTTAGAGGGAAAGAGCCAATGATAAACATGCGGTTCTAGCAGAGTGGAGCTTATCAGCTGTTCTGCTTTCAGGCTGTAGTGAATGAAACGGCTGAGTGCAGGTGCTGCTGCTGCTCGGCTGTCATCAGTTTTATTGAGCCAGTAAAGAGCACTGGTCAAAAGAGTCTCCTGGCTTCATTTGTTCTGCAGTATGTGAATGAAAACACTATTCCCCACATTCCTGTGTGATTAATTCCAAATAATGAGCGTTTAAACATTTTGAATTAATTAGTGTGCGAACAGACACACGACTAGTCTCTGTGCTGATAATGGAAATGCAGCACGTTCAGATAAAAGAAAGTCATGAATCAAACATTTCTCAATGAATTACACGTTGTTACTGTGTGAATGAGACCATTTACTGTAAAGAATGTGGGCATGTGGGAGGAAACACCCACAACACAGCAGGGCATGGTGGTTTATTGAGATATTGCAAAGAAATGAGAATGATATCGTACACATTCACACAGTCGACCTTTGCCCCCAACGTCTCCCACACGCGCCGCCTTCGCCTCCTCATGCAGCTCTCACTGCTGCGCTGCTCAGCATTAAGAAGCTTAGGCCCGACGAGCTGCAGCACGATGACATCTTTCATCTGGAATATTTATGGGATGTAATGACACCGAAATGAATTCCATTTCATTCACATGAAGTCACCAGTGTTTAGGAGGAGACACATGGCTCCTGCCAGTCGCTGTTTGTCAGGCCATACGTCACCCTGTCTCAGTAAACTGAAAAGAAAAATGTGAAATGCGCCTCGGTCTCTTCAAGGCCAGCTCCCGCTGATGAGTCGAGGGTTTTCTTTCCTCCTTGAGTGTTCGAGACCGCAGCGCAGCCTCTCCCTTCCTGCCTTCCAGTGGTACCAGCCCTGCCTCAGGACAGAGAGACCCGGTGCAGAGAGATTGCTCATTAACATTTCTGTGCTTGTAAGTCCTCTTTGCTCCTGCACACTCTCAGGATAGTCTGTGAAATTCACCGATGGAAGGAGTTCTAAAGATATTTCGTGGGTTATTGATAGTAAAGCATACTTAAAGCTACTCTGTGGTCACACAGTCACTGCAGTGCGTTATTGTTATTCCTGCAGTGTTACTATGTATGTTGCATGCTGCTGATGGAGTGGCTGAGCTGGAGTTTGATTCTTCCTGTTAAAAAGACGTTTTTCCTTTCCACTGTTGCCAAGTGCTTGCTCATAGGAGGCCATCTGATTGTTGGGGTTCTCTCTGTATTATCATGCAGTGTATTACCTTACAATATAACATTGTTGTTGTTGTGATTTTACGCCATAGAAATAAAGCTGATTCAATTCGTGATTTTTTTTAACTCTTTTTTTCTTACTTTTTATTTTTTTATATGTAAAACATACACAGACTTGGCCTAATATATAAATAGATATAACAGAAGCATAAAGGTTTCTAAAGTAGAACAAGAACCCTGAACATGTATTTTAATGCAGTACTTGAGTAAATGTACTCAGTTACATTTGGCCACTGTAGAAATTCAGTCAGCTGAATGAGCAATCAGACGAGACAGATCTGTGACTGTAATCAGTCCCAGCTTGTTAATGGATCAGTCTTTGTGTAAATCAATAATGCAGTCTCTGATTAACTGAAACTGAGCTGAGGCTGGGTCTCCGCCAGAGCAGCATTGATTCGTGTGTCACCTCACGACATCACTTGAGCTCTATGTCACTTAAGGTGTTTCTCATGCACAAGGTGACATAGTTTAGCAGTGAGTACACAGTGGTACACATGACAGAACAGCATCTCATTGTTCCAGGACACCTCAGCACCCTGTAAATGTTGCTTATCATGATACCGTTCTTTATACTTGCATCGATATGCACCTGTACCTCTATCTTGTGTGTTCGTGTTCATGTGGGCTAATTCATTTTATGACATGTGCACTAACAGAAATAGGAGGCGGAGCTTGTTCCGCCAGTAGCCGGTGTCTTTCCTGCGTGTCTGGGGGGCCTCGACAACAGCTGTCACCGACACATGCACAGCTACAGTCGTATAAATGCCCCTGGTCTTGAATTCCAAAAATGCAGTTTAGATACTTCGGGATGTTTCGCAGAACAGCGGCACTTATAACTCATGTGCCCTTCATTTAAAAATAAGCCCAGAACTCCATGGCAACCCAAGATATTCTAAAGAGCACTTGATATGTTGTGGTCAGAATGGCGACGCATACGTGCTAAAAACAGGGGACTGGTTAACTGGCTGTTGATGTTTAACGATAATAAGACGAGTGATGTCATTCATTAGGTTCGGATCTTTGGACCATGATGTGCCTGGACCGCTCTGGCATTAAATATGGATTGCATCAGGAGACATTTCAAATTTCACAGCTGGGAACAAACCTCACGACCCATTCTGTAAACTTTTCCCCTGTTTGCCAGTAGTGACATAATCATGACTTTCCTGGTGATTTCCTGTGTGATCAGTTACACCAGCCTTCATCATTCCAGTGATATTACTGGTCAGGAGAGAACAAACCAGCATATACAGTAAAACATCTGAAGGCACCTTTAGAATGAAGATGACTGGCCTCTGTGACTAAGACAGGCCGTCTTTGTCCCTGAACCAATCACTCTGTGACTCCACACGTCTCTCAGCGAGTCAGAGCTCTTCTCTGACAGACGTGTTATGCTTTAGTTTATTTTTGTCTCACCTGCAACAATGCTTTTCATTTTTTCCCATCTGTAAAAAAGGTAAACAACTGACAATGGCACCAGCACAAGACAATGCGAATGCTCACTTACAAACTTAAATGGGTAGCAGTTTGGAGATTTGTGGTTAGCCATGTGTTACATTATCATTCCGAGCGCTGCGATGTGCGATAGCTTAGGTTTACTGGAAGGCCAGCTGCAAACTTTAAACTTTAAAGCTGAAATTTCTGCCCACTGTTTTCCCGTCCACACATATTTAATCTCTCTGACCTTTGGAGCCTTTTTACCTCTGTTTTGGTCTCCACACCCTCCTCAGATAAAATATCTGGGTCGCTGAGTTGCTAAACTCAATTTTCATCTCCAGCAACAGTTACTTTTACACCTTTGGTAGCGGTGACACATTTTTATCAACATTTTCTTTTATTATTTTGAACGATTAAAAAAGCTTCTGGCTGCTGTTGGTGTGACTGAAGAGGATAGTAGACGTAGGACAGAATGGAGGGAGGAGCCTTTGTGCCAGCCAGGTTTTTGTGATTGTTCTGCAAGTCGCCACCCTGGCATACAGCTGGGATCAAGAAGTAGAGTTGGTCACTTACCCGTCGGAAGGTCAATGTTTAGTTTACAGCTACTCCAGTCCAGTGTGTGTGTGCACAATTGTCAGACAAAGCTCTTAGGTATAGAAAACAGTGTTTGCATGAATATGTATGAAACTGGGTGAATGAGGTTTGCAGTAGAAAAGGACTTGGAGTGCTCCAGTGCACCATATCAGTACCAGTCCAATTCCCAATAAATTCCAGAACTCTAATGGTTGAAGAAGAGCTGCAAGTTAGCACAAAAACACTGTTCTCTGAACAGCTATGAAAACATGTTATGGAAACCAAACAGACGTTTGATGTGTGCTTTAAGATGACTTTATAAGTTCTCTCTCAGTCGCCCATTTTTTGCTCCGCGCTGACTTCAGCTGGCATTCAGAGGATTTTAGACAAATGGCCGAGCCTATGTCTCTTTCCCACGTTTGAATGTGCTTCATCCATATGTTGCTGTTTCTATTCATAGCACACTCAGAACTTAATATCTTCCTTAAGAGAGGGTAAAGATGATAACCAGATCTAGAAAGATCTAGTGCTTCATTAGTTGGTGTTGGTTTACCGATGCTGCCGCTAGACTTTAGCAACGAGAGTCAAGTGACTCTTACTAAATGCCGTTGCTATGGGAATCTGAAAGTTTATCATTGTGTTTGAAACGATGTTTCTAATAGACTATGTTCAATCTAAGTGTGCTTCATGTGCAGCAGTGTTTATAATGCATGACCCAAATCTGAGCATGTTTCATCTCGCTAGGTTCGCCGGTGGATTTACACAGTAAGAGTGAATAAACAGCTTGAGTGAATATTTAACAAAGTGCCCTCACAACAACTCTCACGAATGCGTCCTGTTTTATAAGTGACTGATTAACGGCCTACCTGCGCTGAGTGTTTATCAAGCAAAGAGCGTGTTTGCTCTAATAGCAAAGACTTACTTAGAGAGCCACCTGCATTCTTCTCGGTTTGCTCACTGTTCAAGCTTCGGCTGGTTCCCATGAGGGGATCAGGTTAATGTGACATCAGGAGAATACTACAAGATGAAACCCACCACCTATGCTGACATTTTGCTCCAGTGTGCTATGCCAGCATTAGTTAAGTATTAATAGAAGCCATGATTACAGTAAGACAAGCTGTAAATGCTCGCGTCATGTGCACAAAATCTTTTTGATGGTTCAGTTTAACATTACAAGAAGAACGTTTATGAAAGCAGAATCTTTAAGGAATGTGAACAAGTATCACTCCAAACTTTTTCTGCCAACAGAGTCTTTAGTTTTCCCAGGAAAAGACTGTTATGTAAAATTTGACCCGTGAAGGCCACCGGCCGTCTCGGCTCGAAGGCTCCGTCTCCCAAAATGGATTCCTGGAGCAGACTGCGGCTTTGTACCCTTGCATCCTCACAAAAGTTTCAATAATAAATGGATTGACTGGTAGCTTCGAAACCCATCCGCAGAGACGGTTTTGATTGGAGCTTTCATGTCTTGGCAGGGCTGGTGTGTTTTTCTTGCTGCTCGAGCACGCTGCATTTTATCTGTGTTCTCTGGCAGAACTGGTGCCCTAATGCTCTCGTGCAGTTCTCTCTCCTTTTTTGGTCACGCTGGGTTTGTGCTGTGAATACATCATATCACACCGAATCAAAAAAGTCATTTTTCCTAAACCTTATTCATCACCTCCGTCCTCATCCGGCAGATCAATTTGGTTATATGCCAGATTTTTGCAACCAGGCCCAACCTCTTGATACGAGCATCACATACAAGCTCAGTTTTCAGTAGCCTCGTGACCTTATCATGCTATAATTTTATTTCAGCTAATGGTGTCTTTAAAGGGAATATCTGCAAATGAACACACACAGGATGCAGGTAGTTGACTTTCCACCATCTTTTGTGCGATTGAGGGCTCGTATCTGCCCAAGCAGACCAACCACTGGCAAATAAATGACTCATTTATTCAATAAGTTTACAGTCATTTTCTCCAACTCTAACTCTGTGTATAACCATAACATAATTAGTGTATCTGGCACAGGCTACAACATTATGCCTATTAAGTTTTATTAGAGCGTGCTGGGAGCAAACATCATTCGGACTAAAGGTATATGTAAGCCATAAAGTGAACATCGGTGCGGACCACTGATTAGATTTTACAGTTTCTTTTTATCACTTTGGAATGGAGGCATGTGCTTTGTTGGGGCCTATAAATACACGTGTGTGACAGCTGGACCTGCCCAAGCCTTGGGGCAGATATGGGTCCCACTTTAAATTTAGACTCAGGCCTTGGGTTTTAGGATATTTCTTATTAGATTGAAGTACTGGATGCCGCACCATCAGTGGTGATGGCTTAGATGCTGTGAGTGTGTGTGGACATTGTGACAGGTGGTCATTGATGTTAGAGTACAGATTTACTGTCTGCATGCTCTCCTTTCTTTTCCATAATGACAAATGGGAATGCTTCACGGCAGGGAGGAATTCAGGTCACGTGACTCAGGAATCCCAGCTTGTCTCTCTGCGGAATTAAATTGATAAAGACTGCAGCGACCAGTCAAGGTGACTCAAAACTATGAAGACGGTGGGCTTTGATGACACATGACAGTTGTGTTCATGAGTTGCCTGTAATTGGCCATGAGGATGATAAATATGTAGCAGTTTCAACAGCAAGATTTCAGATCAGCTGTGGTTGCACATGGAGAAAAACCTGGTCAAATAGTCCAAATACTTATGGACTCTGCAAAAGTTGTTAAACTGTAATCAGCAAAGGCCGTGAAACTGTAATGATTTTACTATTTTCTGCTACCAGGAAGTGTTGGATATTAAATGTCATCAGGTTGTGCAGCTGAGGAATGTTGGACTTGTTTCGGCTGTGTGGCAGGCAGGGATTGGACCCAAACGCAAACTCACGGGGACAGAACTTGAACTCAAAAGCACAGCTTTATTGCTGGAAAATAGAACACAAGCAATACAAAACTAAACTGGGAAAAGCTAATTAAAATGCATACCAGAAGACACGGGGAGAGTCACACACAGCATGAGGGACGATGCGACACTGACTCAGAGAAACACAGGGTTTAAATACACTGGGAAGTAACGAGGGGAATGAGACACAGAAGGAGGGCACAGCTGGGAGAAATCAGGACTGACGAGACAAGCAAAGCAGGACGCATTCACATAGACACGGACCATCAAAGTAAAACAGGAAGTATCACACAGAGACGCGAACTTGACACAGTGGAGACAGCAACTAAGAAACACAGATGATCTGATATCCTCGTGTTGGTGTTGTTCCCAGACCATCATGAAAATGTTGTTCCAGGTTCAACATTGCAAGTGACCAATCACATTGTTGTGACGTTATTCTTTTGCGCGCCAAGCCATTCGTGCATTTATGAAATTCCAATGTTGCAAGGACAATATCAATTCTGCTTACTGTTTATTAAAGGGTTACGGTTAGGGTTAGGGTCAGGGTCCGTTGATCGGCGGACAGAGGCGGTTTCACGCAGCTTAAGTACAGTTTTTTGTTTTACGCCGGTTTTTCCCGAAGTCGCAAAAGTATGACGTCACAACATTCTGATTGGTCACTTGCAATGTTGATCCTGGAACAACATTTAGTATGATGATCTGGGAACAACACCAACACGAGGATATCAGATCAACCAAGAAACACAGAGACATAAACCATAAGGCAGAGGACTCGGAACAGAAAACAAAAGCAGAGCACAGCAAACACCGGAGCCCAAGAAAACAGCCCAAACACAGGGGCAGTTCAGGGGGCCGACCATGCGGACGGCAACGGCGGCGGCGAAGGAGACGACGGAGCTGTTCAGGGGGCCGGCCGCGGAAAGCGGCGGCGGCTCTTAAGTGTCAGGCGTACTGGCCGAGGCTCGGTGGGCACAGGACCAGACGGCTGCAGCTGGCGAGGATGAAGCCGGAGACGGAGGCGCTGCAGCTGGCGGCGGCGTGGATGACACTGCTACTGCAGACGTGTATGAGGCTGCCGGTGGAGCAGCTGGTGGCTGGACGGGCCCCTCGGGCCCCCCAGCGGAGACGGGTGGCTGGACGGGCCCCTCGGGCCCCCCAGCGGAGACGGGAGGCTGGACGGGCTCGCCAGAACCCCCAGCGGACGAGGCGGGTGGCGGCGCGGGAGCCACGGAGTGCTGGATGGACTCATCTGAGCTTTCTTTACGATCCGTGTTTTAGTTTTGCAAGAACCGTTCCTGTGTGGACACAGTTGTATATTCAGCTGGTGGAGGCCAAACAAGAGATAAAAGAAGAGTGAATACTGCCTTTCATGAGGAGGATAATTAGTACTGTAAATCAGTGCTAAACTAAGTAGAAAATGATGTGCTATTTCCAAAAACCTAAATGAAAGGCATTAGCTCAGGGGTGGGCAATCTCAGTCCATGAGGGCCGGTGTCCCTGCAGGTTTTAGATGTGTCCTCGAACCAACACAGCTGATTTAAATGGCCAAATTAGCTCCTCAACATGTCCTGAAGTTCTCCAGAGGCCTGGTAATGAACTAATCATGTGATTCAGGTGTGTTGACCCAAGGTGAGACCTAAAACCAGCAGGGACACCGGCCCTCGTGGACTGAGATTGCCCACCCCTGCATTAGCTGGTAGGTTTAAATAAAGTTTTGTATGTTTTACTCAAAGCCCTGCTTCAGATTGGTCACCTGCCCGGGGTGTGACCTGCCTCTGAGCCTGTAGTAGCGAGATAGGGTCCCGCCCCCTATTAGGAAAAAGGACAAAAGCCTTTATTCAGAGCTAAACATGATAAAAACATATATAGTTGCCGTGAAGTCAAGTGAGCTGCATTTCAACAATAAGATCAGAATTAATGTTTGTGTTCTGGGGCAGTTTGTCTGAAACCTTGTTTTGATTGTTTGCTTTACTTTTAATGCATTCTTACATTTTCCTCATATGAATTTTTATTGTACAAGACTGAATTTGACCTGAAGCTATTTTTATTCTTACATCTGTCAGCTCTAACTGCACTCGCCTGCCTTCTCTGCTGAACGATAGTAACACCGCAAAGTGAGCCGAGCTGTTACAGTAGCTGGATTTTCATGGCGTCGGCCCAGAAATTAAAAATAAACCATCACGGTCCTCACTCGGTGTCAACCATCTTGTCCTTAGGAAGTCTGCCAGAGTCATTTGCAGCGCTACACATGTTTCTGTGTTTCGTCACGCTCGTGTCCCAGAGGTGGTCATTTTAATGCCCTCGACCTCTGGGCATCATTCAGAAACACTGGCACAGTTTGAATGGTGGACCCAACACTATCAGCACTCGTGCACACTGCTGCACCACAACACTGGAATGAACGTTAGCGAGCCTACAGCTGAAACTAATAGGTATGAGCAGGAAAGAAGGCACCGCCATTAATCTCCAGTTAAGAACCAGATCTCCTCGGAGCCAAAGTGCACTCTCTGAACTCCGAGATAAAGGATGCACTTAATGGGTCCGTTTGTTTGATTTTCTTTCCTCTTTATTTGAACTGAGAGATGCTGCCACTGTTATCTTGCACCCCAATTTTCGTGCATGGGTGTTTTTCCCCGAAACAAGTGAGATTCAAAGAGATCGGTTTCAAGCGTCATTGGAATTCACTGCAGTCTTGACTTTGGTGACCTTTATTACTGAAGAAGATAAGCATTTCTCTTGATGTGAAGCAGCAGTTTGATAGACTCTCTTTCAAACTTCTCGAAATTGTATAGAAAATCTAACTGAGCTTTACTTTTTTATCAGGTTGGACTGATACGCATAGTTACTGATGTTCCAGTAGAGCATATGTGTGAATTCTATCGCACACTTCCATGAACGTGCACCAGAGAGAAGTCCTGACAGTTTGGACGGCTTATTTGGGATGATTCAGAGGTCAGGGCGCTATGACATCACTGTGGGCTTACAGGGGGACTCTAGGTGCTCAGGGTGCTTTTCTGTTTGTAATTATAAAGAGCTGCTGATGTCATATCTGAAACCGATCACAAAGAGCACTCTGTTCGTACAGAACGTGAACACACACACAAGAACACGCACGTTTTCACATTCACAGAGACAGAGAAACAAACTTCTCTTCAGTCTCTTAACATTGTTGGTTGTTGTTCTCGTGTGTGGAGTCAGCTCCCAGCTTGAGAACTGGGTAGAGGTCTTTGCCCCTAGCTTTTGTTTTAGCATCACAGAAATGTGGAAATTTTAATGTCACATTTTTTGCCATTTTTTGTAACTAATTTAACCTCCTAAGACCTGAACTCTTCCACAACATGCATTTTAAGTTTCTCTTTGATATTTGGGCTGATTGGCACCTGATGAATGTAAAAACAAAGAATTACCAGATTTTTTTTTAACCTTTTTTTTTTGTTTCTGAGAAAAATGAGAGCCACATATGAGGATATTTGTTTAAAATTTCAATAGAACAGTGGCAACATAATGTCCTCGTAAATGGATATCAGGCCCTTGAAGAGCAAAATTGAGGATTTTGGCCTAAATAACCCAAAATGTGACGTCCACATGTGTGGACACCAGGTCGTAGGAGGATAAATATAAATTAGTTTGTGTATCCATGTCCTCCCAAAGTTGTACCCACTGCTTTCATAACTTTAAAAAAATGATATTAACTGAAGAGGGTGGCAGAGTGGTTCACTGGTTAGCATGGTCACCTCACAGCACCAAGGTCGTGGGTTTGAATCTTTCTCTGTGGAGTTTGTGTGGATTAGTGTGACTGAGAAGCCACACTGGCGGTTTGGTTCATTGGTTATTCTAAATTGACTGTAGCTGTGTCTCCAACCTTTGACAACTGTAAACTTGACTCATAAATACAAATGAACTCATGCTGTGCACAGGCTCAGTTACAAACTAATTTTAAATTATTTAAAACATTCAGAAATGACAGCAGAAGTTGTGAACCAGTGATAAGTGTATGTACATGCACTTCTACCAACACTCACCCTTATGCCTTTGTGATTTTGGGACTACACACACACACACACACACACACACACACACACACACACACACACACACAGGTGGGTAATTATTGATATTCACTCCAGATTAGGGATGTTAACAGAAGACATGTTCATCCAGTTTTAATACAAACACAATGATTGTGCTTGTGTTTGTCATCGGATCAGTGCAGGTCAGAAGGTCTGTTAATGTGAACAGGAATGGAAGCCAAACTCAAACAACACACTCCTGAACCAAAAATACCTATGAAAGGAAAAAAATGAATGGTAGTGGGATGCAACCGAATAAAAGGCTGAATTAAAAACAGAGAAACCTGTTCCTTCTCTCTCTGGTTCAGGTAGGATGAGATCCAAAAGCAGTGGGGTGGACACCCCAGCCAATGGGGTACTTGGAGTTCCACAGGGTGACCAAGAACAGGAAGTGAGCCTGCCTGTGAAGACCCTGAAGGCCAAAGTCCAGCAGAAAGATGGTGAGGAAACAGTGGAGGTCGAGGTGATCTCTGACAAAGACAAACCGTTGGATTCCTCCAAGGCTGGAGATAAAAGACAGAACACCCTGGATCTGTCTAAAGAGGATTTGCTGACACTGTTGGGAATCATGGAAGGAGAGATTCAGGTGGGCGAGGCATTGTTTCCCTTTGTGTTTAGCTTTCTGTATGTGATCTGCAGCTGTAAGCAGGACAAGTGCAATGATAAGAGAAAAGGTGGATGAGCGCAGTACCTGAACATTATTGGCTTGAGTAACTGCAAGTTTTGCACAACAGCTCTCTCTTGTGGTTTAAAATGTAACATACCAGAGAAAACTGACAACCACACTTAGACTTTATCGAGTTGGTACTTTAGAGAACTCTGAAAGGTAAACTGGTGATCCACGAAGCAAAGACTAGCAAGTTTTTAACACCCTCTGTATCATTTCTGTGTAACTTCAGGCCAGAGAGGATGTTATCTGCATGCTGAAGTCCAAACACAGTTCCCCAGAAGCCCTTGAGTCACAGTATGGCTCCGCGGTCCCTGGCTCGGCCCTCCAGGCCCTTCAGAGAGACGGCGTCATCACAGGCACCAAACCACACAACCACAGTGTCTACCAGAAACCGATGGCTGAGGTTAGTAGGCGAGTGTCAGTCACAAACCCTGAGGGATGATCAAAATTACTTTTTTATTAACTGGAATTATTTGTTTCTGTGTGTGCGTGTTCGTCTTTGCCGTCTCAGCTCGAGCGTCTGCAGGAGAAGCACAAGGAGACGTACCGGCGGATGCTGGGTCAGCTGCTATTCGCAGAAAAATGCCACCGGCGAACCATCCACGAGCTGGACACAGAGAAGAGGAAGCACGCCGACTACATGAACAAGAGCGACGACTTCACCAACCTCCTGGAGCAGGAGAGAGAAAGGTGAGGAGATCAGGAAAGGAATGCAAGAGCCAGCGGCTGTAAAATTGCAACACCATTATCTGAACCTGGACACTGTTTAGCATCCCCGCTATTTTAAATCATTTGGTAAATAAGCTTTGAGAGAAGCACCTACAAATATGTTCATTTAACAGAAAGCAATATGCACATAAAGTGAAAAAATGGTGTACAGAAAGTAAATTTATTGCTGTAGCACTGTAAACATCATGTGATGCTCATACAGAATTTTACAGGTATGAGAAGTAAAAGGAGGAACTGTGAAGGAGAACCTGGTAAAAGCAGCAGGGGAAGAAGAAGAAAGCATAAAGTGCAGTTCCAGTGTAGTCTATGAAGCCAGTGCATCCAGTGGCTCAAGGGAGAGAGTCGAGGGAAGGAATGCTTGAAAAACATCTCAGACTGCATGAAAGATGGCTTCATCGAACCTGTGACGCAAGCGAGACGGGAGAAGACAGGGAGGTGCCGCTTACTGAATGATAACCTCGCATAGCTTTGTATGCAGGGGAGAGTCACGCAGCTCAAGGAAAGAGAGGCCAGAGGCAGGGTGGACTTGGACTGCTGTGGGAAAGACACAGGTCAGGTATTGAGAGAAGAGGACACAGAGCCATGGGGTGGAAGAACAGCAGGAAAGACAAGCGCAGGGCTAAAGGACATGTCAGAGCTTCATTGCTGAGGTTGTGACATGGGCTCGCAACCTCAGAGCGGCTGCATGGACACACAACACAGGAGGGGAGATGGTGAAATTCTGTGTCTAGAAGGCTCATAGAGATAAAGCAAGCCTTACAGTGGGGCAAAAAAGTATTTAGTCAGCCACCGATTGTGCAAGTTCCCCCACTTAAAATGATGACAGAGGTCAGTAATTTGCACCAGAGGTACACTTCAACTGTGAGAGACAGAATGTGAAAAAAAAATCCATGAATCCACATGGTAGGATTTGTAAAGAATTTATTCGTAAATTAGGGTGGAAAATAAGTATTTGGTCACCTCAAACAAGGAAAATCTCTGGCTCTCACAGACCTGTAACGTCTTCTGTAAGAAGCTTTTCTGTCCCCCACTCGTTACCTGTATGAATGGCACCTGTTTGAACTCATCATCTGTATAAAAGACACCTGTCCACAGCCTCAAACAGTCAGACTCCAAACTCCGCCATGGCCAAGACCAAAGAGCTTTCGAAGGACACCAGGAAAAGTATTGTAGACCTGCACCAGACTGGGAAGAGTGAATCTACAATAGGCAAGCAGCTTGGTGTGAAAAAATCAACTGTGGGAGCAATCATCAGAAAATGGAAGACATACAAGACCACTGATAATCTCCCTCGATCTGGGGCTCCACGCAAGATCTCATCCCGTGGGGTCAAAATGATCATGAGAACGTGAGCAAAGATCCCAGAACCACACGGGGGGACCTGGTGAATGACCTGCAGAGAGCTGGGACCAAAGTAACAAAGGTCACCATCAGTAACACACTACAACGGCAGGGAATCAAATCCCGCAGTGCCAGACGTGTTCCGCTGCTGAAGCCAGTGCATGTCCAGGCCCGTCTGAAGTTTGCCAGAGAGCACATGGATGATACAGCAGAGGATTGGGAGAATGTCATGTGGTCAGATGAAACCAAAGTAGAACTTTTTGGTATAAACTCAACTCGTCGTGTTTGGAGGAAGAAGAATACTGAGTTGCATCCCAAGAACACCATACCTACTGTGAAGCATGGGGGTGGAAACATCATGCTATGGGGCTGTTTTTCTGCCAAGGGGACAGGACGACTGATCCGTGTTAAGGACAGAATGAATGGGGCCATGTATCGTGAGATTTTGAGCCAAAACCTCCTTCCATCAGTGAGAACTTTGAAGATGAAACGAGGCTGGGTCTTCCAACATGACAATGATCCAAAACACACCGCCCGGGCAACAAAGGAGTGGCTCCGTAAGAAGCATTTGAAAGTCCTGGAGTGGCCTAGCCAGTCTCCAGACCTCAACCCCATAGAAAATCTGTGGCGGGAGTTGAAAGTCCGTGTTGCTCGGCGACAGCCCCAAAACATCACTGCTCTCGAGAAGATCTGCATGGAGGAATGGGCCAAAATACCAGCTACTGTGTGTGCAAACCTGGTAAAGACCTATAGTAAACGTTTGACCTCTGTTATTGCCAACAAAGGTTATGTTACAAAGTATTGAGTTGTATTTTTGTTATTGACCAAATACTTATTTTCCACCCTGATTTACGAATAAATTCTTTACAAATCCTACCATGTGGATTCATGGATTTTTTTTCACATTCTGTCTCTCACAGTTGAAGTGTACCTCTGGTGCAAATTACTGACCTCTGTCATCATTTTAGGTGGGGGAACTTGCACAATCGGTGGCTGACTAAATACTTTTTTGCCCCACTGTATGTGAGAGCGTATTTGTGCCATGGGAGTGTATGAGAGAGAAGGCCCTGCTAACTGCAAACACTCCCATATAAAAGGGTTTAATTGACTGTTGGTTGTTGGAGATTATTCTTTTGTTATTGTTTTGTTGCAGCTTCCACAAACGGACGGCGATGCATAATTTAAAGCTATTTGCACTCATAGTTTGCAAAATAAAAATAACAGCAAAATATGTGGACGACATAATCATCTGTAAGACAGACTGGAGCACCTATGTGGCAATTTATAATGACTGTGAAAAAGTTGCTTTAAAACTGTGACATTACCTCTTTGCACGGGCACACACACACACACACACACACACACACACACACACACACACACACACACAAAAGACACAGCTGGGAAATAAGCAGCTGAATTTACCCACAGAAACGACCACCTGCAGTAACCAACCACCGTGGCCCGCCCCACAGTTTGAGAAAGACTAATCTAAAGTAAATTTATGTGAAATTTGATACTTTAATCTAGCACTGTCCAACTCCAGGCCTCGAGGGCCGGAGTCCTGCAGGTTTTAGTCCTTGATCTGACACAGCTGATTCAAACGGCTAAATTCCTCATCAACATGTCTTGCAGTTCTCCAGAGGCCTGCGAATGAACTAATCATGTGATTCAGGTGTGTTGATCCAGGGTGAGATCTAAAACCTGCAGGACACCGGCCTTCGGGGCCTGGAGTTCCCCACCCCTGTTTTAAACAGAGCCCTAGTGAAAGAGTGCACACAATCAGCTTAAACTGCATGTATTTCATGAGTTTTAGCAACAGGAAAGAGGGACTGCTGACCTGTCTGTGGTGTATCTTGCTGTGTTAGCTGGACTGGTCGAGCTCTTCTGTGTTGCATAAGCAGGGGTCTCGAACTCCAGTCCTCGAGGGCCGGTGCCCTGAAACTTTTCCATGTGTCCCTGTTGCAACACGCCTGAATACAATTAGTAGGTCTGTGTGCTGAAGTGGAAAAAATTACTTCTAACAGTACTTTTATTGCACCATGTTCATTCACTCATGAGCTGCTGTAACATGAATCAAATGGCTGAATTGTCACCTCAGCATGCAGACAGGTTCTACAGGGTCTTGCTAATGACCTACTAACTGTATTCAGGCTTGTTGCAACAGGGACACATGGAAAAGTTTCAGGACACCAGCCCTCGAGGACTGGAGTTCGAGACCCCTGGCATAAGCAGTGAGATACATAGGTAGTGGTCTCACCCTGACCACACCTATAAAATTGTCCGTCTTTACCACCGACATGAACCAAAAGGAGTCTGCAAATATTCAAATGAGGTTATTGTAACATTTCTGAAGGAAAACAACTAATTGATATTTGTGAAGTTGTTTGAGTGACATTCCACAACTTTACTCCAAAAGAATCTGATCTGAAACTTTATAATTAATAAGATAAGATAACCTTTATTGAGAGAGATAAGGATAAGTGAAGTTTAGCTGTAAGTGCTGTGGTTGGTAATAGCGACCAAATCATAACTAAACGGGTTAATTTACTTCTACTCGATCATTTGTTGACCCCCATCTCATGCCAGGTGGTTTCCAGCAGGTTCCTTGGCTCGCACACATGGCGGCCTCTGTCACCCCAAAGAGAGAGCAGAGAGGATGAACTCTGCCAGGTCTTTACTCTGTCAACACCTGCACGTCTCAGATTCCTCTATTTGCACCATACAAGGATACAAAGCACAGGGATGCGAAAACAGCTCAACTCCAGGAGGAAATCTAACATGTCCATGGTATATTCATTAAAGAGAAAGCCTGACGGAGCTCGCAGTAAAGCTCACGCAGTGTTATTCTTGTCTAATTTACATCAGTTTTGTTTAGCCGGAAGTAAAACTTCCAATTTTGTTTTTCAAATCTCACTTGCACTGAGAGATGGGACAGACGTTTGCTGTCCACACAGTAGCAGGTTTTTCCCTTAGGCCTTAGATTTATGGAGTTTTTACTCACTAAAACTTTACCTAGGAAGTGAAAAAAAGTAGCCAGGGGCTGGAGGGGTTAACATAAACAGGAAAAACAGATTTAAAAGAGAACATGACACAAGTGCTAACAGCTACACAAAAACATGCAAACAGACAGTCATTCACTCTCTCAGGTGAGATGGAAGCGTGTCATGCTCTCATCCTTATGGATGTGATCTCCTCCAGCCATCTAGATGAGAGTGAAGAGAGAGAAGTCAAACGCTCTTGTGCCAAACACCTTGAGGAATGCAGAAAATGGGCAGAGAAGAGGCTCCTTCAGACCGGCAGCCATCAGCGATTAACACCCTCTCAGACAACAAGTAATTTATGTGTCAAGATGTTAAATATTTCAAGTGGCACGGTGGAATGTGTTCAGACTGACGGAGGAAGCAGCTCCCACTCCTGACGGGAGTTTCAAAGAGCGCAAAGTCACGCACACAAAATGAAGACGTGGCCTCCAAACTTAAACTGTTTGCCGTTATCGAGCACGCTGTCTGCTCTCCTTTAACACCAAGTCAGAGTGCACAGAGCTCAGGCTCTGCACCTTTTGCCACTTGTTTTCTACATCCATCTTCATCCTACTGACACAGGCTTTTAGATCACACACGCTTTTACATGGACGCAAAGCAATTTCTTGCAAAGTTGAAACACAAGCTAAGCTGTGCTTCATAGAAACGGTAACACAAACACTTGTATTTTCCCATTTTGGACATTGTACACCACAATTATTTCTTCCTTAGTAACAGTAAACTAGAAATCTACATGACTTGGCCACAAGTGCCAAACCCCTCTGACATCATGACTCTGACCTTTGCATGAAAGTAATTTTAGAGTTCCAGTTTCTAGGGTGTCAGTGACTTCTGACTGTGTAAGTATGAAATGTTATGAGCTACACTTTCACATGTGGACGGCCTCTTTGTACAGTAGCCAGGTATGCTAAACACACTTGGCAATGGAAGCTGCTGGCATTATGAATCAATGCCGATGTTTATCTACAAGTTCACTGGCAGACGTGGTTTTTTTTAAACTGTGGTTTTGTTTAAATGATTAACTGTAGCTACACGGCCCCGCGCTGCAGTCTGGATGTAGCGCTTCGTACTCTTATTGCCATGTCTCTATCCTCCCATGTCTCCGTCACCTCAAGGGAGGCATCCAACTCTTCCATATCTGGTTTCCTCATCATATGTAGACTTTGCAGGGAGCCTCATTCATGTCCAGGTTCCCCTAAAGTGCAACTGCAGCAGACATTCTCTCTTGTACCAGTGAGCTCACAGCAGAGACATTATCCTGCACACAGAATGGAAAATGGAGCAACAATGATATAACTTTGAATGTGAGCCTCAGAAAGCATTAACACTGATTCATTTTTTTTGGAGTAAACTTGGAAACAAAGTTATATTGGGCTAATCTCTATTTTTATAAAAAGCATTAAAACTGAGGGGAGCTTTGCAAAACACTGGTTCTGTGGAAGGGTCCCACCCCCTTCACAGTGTCTGAAGCAGAGCTCTCTCTCTCACACACTCTCACACTGCTTTACATGGATGAGGTGGCATCACTCACTAGAAGTCTGCTGTTTCCTCGCAGTAGTTATTCACCTTTCATTGCCCTCATGCCACGCCTGGAGTGTGCCGGTGGAAGATTTAAGTGACAGGAGGTCTCTGCTACTCCTATTGCTGCTACTGTGGATTTTTGCACGGGCAGAACAGGGTTCATGTGCTACTTGTAGAGCATCAATAGTGGGTAAGTTTTAAATCTAGCAAGTTTCTGAGGTCTTGTGACCACATACATTTTGAATGGAGCTCACTTAGTCTCTTTACGAGTTGTTTAAAATGCACAGTCATCCTTGTTGTGCTGATGCTTCTTGTAATTTGGTTTAATTTGCAATGCAAAAAGGTTCAGGTTGAATATTGTATTACAATATCCCCGGGAGTGTACAGGCAGGAACTGCATCTGCATGCATTCTGCTTTGTATGGATTTTCTTCGAGCTGGAAATGAGAATGGACATGAGCAGCATAGAAAGGAGCTAAGAGAAAAGATGACTGCTTGGTGAGGGGGTGTTGGTGAAACTCAGTAGCAGTTTGTTCTCTTGTACTATTGCTTTGGCAGGATTGAAAATAGTAGGAATGTTGGAGTGTTTCATTCTGACAGGTTTTCCTCTGGATGCTTGTTTGGGACACTGTAGCATGAATTATGTGTTCTACCAGGACTGTGACTGATAATTGTTTTATCCGTGTTCTTTCTAGATAGCTTCAAGTGCTGGGCTTGTTTATACCACTGTTTGATTTAGAGTGTGGAGTCAGTGCATAAAGTTTTCAAATTCAAATTCAAATTTTATTTGTCACATACACAGTCATACACAGTAGGATATGCAGGGAAATGCTTAGACAACTGCTCGTGACCTAAAGAAAAAAAGACTATGAATAGGATAGGAAATAAATCTGAAAATTAAAATGAAGGGTAAATTTAGCTTGGAAGGAATAAAATAAAATATTGATATTAAAGTTAAAAATAAAATAATTGTACAACAAATTACACAATATAGAAATATATAAGAATATATGAAGAAATATAGAACAATACCAGCAGCTGTAAAAGTACTAAATGGTATCAAGAAATATAATGTCCAGGGCTGTGCAATCCACATGTAAGTGTCTTGTGCAGTGCAAATATGCTTAAAGTGATTTATTTAAGTGACTTGTGATAGAGTGATTAGATTAGATGACAACGCAGTGTAGTTGTGCAGTGGCCACTGGTGTAAACAAATGTCCAGAATGTCCAGTGTGTGTGTAAGAACTATATGTGTGGGTCAGTACTGTGTGGTGGTGTGATTGAGAGACCGTATCGCCTGCAGGAAGAAGCTCCTCCTCAGTCTCTCTGTGTTGGTCTTCAGGAAGCGGAATCGCTTTCCTGACCTCAACAGAGAGAACAGTCCGTTGTTGGGATGGCTGAGGTCCTTCACGATCTTCCTGGCCTTGGTCCAGCACCACCTGCTGTAGATTGAGTGCAGGTCAGGGAGCTCGGAGCGGATGGTGCGCTCAGCTGACCGCACAACCCTCTGTAGAGCTCGTCTGTCCTGCATGGTGCTGTTCCCGAACCAGGTGGAGATGTTTCCCGTCAGGATGCTCTCTATGGCGCACGAGTAAAAGTTCCTGAGCACCTTGGAGGGCAGTCGGAAGTCTCTCAAGCGTTTGAGCTGGTAGAGATGCTGTCGGGCCTTTTTCACCACGGTGCTGATGTGAAAGGACCATGACAGGTCCTACGTGATGTGAACTCCGAGGTATTTGAAGTTGTCCACTCTCTCCACTGGGCACTTGTTGATGATGCAGCCTTGAAGCGAGCATAGAAAGTGTTCAGCTTGTCTGCCAGTCCGCGTTCGTCATACCGGTTGTTGATGCTTTATAATCCGTTATTGTCCTTAATCCCTGCCACAGGCTCCTAGAGTCACTCTGTTGGAGTTGTGACTCTAGTTTCCTCCCGTACATGCAAATTTCAAGTTTAAAGTCAGTGACCTTCCAGAATAATGCCCTTTCTTTTTTTGTTCCTTTCAGACTGAAGAAGTTGCTTGAGAACGAGAAAGCCTACCAGCTCAGAAAGGAGAACGAACACGCCAAACGTCTGACCAAGGTGCGAGAGGAGCTGGTCAAGCTGAAGTCTTTCACCTTGATGTTGGTCAATGAGCGGCAGCAGCACCTGGAACAAATAGACCAGCAGAGCCAGCGGGTCCAGGAGCTCAGCCAGCAGCTGCAGCAGCGTGAGCAGGCTCTAAGTGAAGCCAGGCAGCGTGCTCAGGAAGATGGACACAGGGTGCTGAGCCTCGAGGCCGAGCTTAAAGAGAAAGCCGACAAGCTCAAGCAACAACACGAAGAGATGAGTGCCAAGCTAGCCGGTCAGGAGCTTCTCAATCGTCAACTAAATACAAAACTTTCAGGCCTCACAAATGAGGTTGCGGAGCTACAGGAAAGCAACAGAGCACTGAGGAGATCTGAGGAGGAACTGCATGAGCTAAGGGAGAAGATCAGCAGGGGGGAGTGTGACAACTCAAACCTGATTGCTGAATTAGAGAACTTGAGAAAACGAGTGCTGGAGATGGAAGGAAAGGATGAGGAGATTACTAAAACAGAAAATCAGTGTAAGGAGCTACGGAAGAGGCTACAAGAGGAGGACAATAAGAGTAAAGACCTCAGACTGGAAGTGGAGAAGCTCCAAAAAAGAATCATGGCATTGGAAAAACTCGAGGGAGCATTTAGCGTTAGCAAAGTCGAGTGTGCACAGTTACAGGGTGCTCTAGAAAAAGAGAAGGGCCTGACCAAAGAGCTTTCAGACGAAGTTGTGGCTCTCAAGATTCGTATGAAAGAGCTCGAGTCATCTGAGATAAAGCTGGAAAAGTCTGAGCTGAGCCTTAAGGATGACCTCAGTAAGCTTAAATCACTGACCGTCGCATTGATGGAAGAACGAAAGACCCTGATGGAAACAGTGAAGTCATGTGAGGAGAAAAAGGACGATTTAAGCAACCTGGTCAAAGCTGAGCAGAATAAAGTTATGGAAGTGACAGAGAAGCTGATAGAAGAAAGCAAAAAGCTCCTAAAATTGAAATCAGAGATGGAAACCAAAATAGAGACTTTAACGAATGAAAAGGGCGAGCTTAGCACTAAGCTAGCTTATGAAATTGATAAAACTAAGGACCTTAGCTCTAAAGTCAACCAAATGAAAAAGAAGTTAGATGGATTTGAGCAAGCAGAAAAACTTTCTGGAAAGAATTCAGTGAAATGTGACATGCAGAGAACATCTGAGCCCATCATCAGAGACGACAACAAAGTTAAGGAGCTGACGTTTGAAATTGAGCGCCTGAAAAACCGTCTCAAACAGCTCGAAGTGGTAGAGGGAGATCTTCTCAAGACAGAGGATCAGTACGACATGTTGGAGAAAAAGTTCATGAGTGAACAGGACAAAGCCAACATTCTGTCCCAGCAGGTGGAGGAAATGCGGACTCAGATAGCACGGAATAAAGCGATCGAGAAAGGAGAGGAGGAAAGCCAAGAGGAAGATCTGCGTCAACGTTGCAAGAGAGAGGAGGCCAGAACCAGGGAACTGCAAGGCGACGTGGTAGCGCTCAAGGAGAAGATCCACGAACTCATGCACAAAGAAGACCAGCTTTCTCAGCTCCAAGTGGACTTCTCCGTCCTGCAGCAGAGGTTCTTGGAAGAAGAAGAGAAAGCCAAGAACATGAGCACTGAAGTTTTCCATCTCACCAAAGAACTGGAGATGGCTAAGCGTCAAAGTCGAGCGCTGCGACCCAGCTTGAATGGGAGAAGAATAGTGGACGTGGCGGTGACCTCCACTGGCGTGCAGACAGAAGCGTCGTCCTCCGAGCCAGCAGAGGAGGATACCCCGGCTGGCTTTATAAGAAAGTCTGTTCAAGAAGAGAACCACATTATGAACAACTTAAGACAGAAGTGCCTGAAGAAGCCAGCAGAGAAAGGCAGTGCTGTTGAGCGTTCACCTTCATCTGGCAGTGATTTAGGTATCAAGAGATCTTGGATTCCCTGGATGAGGAAAAAGGACAACAGCCCTCAAGAGACCCACCTGGAGAAGCCACTGCACAATGGAGAGAGCTTCTCCTCTGAGCTGACCATGCCCCAGAAGCCAGGTCAGCCTTTCCACATCCGAGTGACACCAGATCACCAAAACAACATGGCAACTCTTGAAATCAGAAGCCCGACTGCTGGGGACGTTTTCTCTAGTTCCGCTCCCCTCAGCCCCAATCCATCTCAACCCAAATCCAGAATCACCATCATTCCCACCGGCACTGCTCCGACCCAGCGGAGAAAGTCCCCCGCTGTGTCTCAGGGCCCCGAAAGGGCCAAGTCTCCAGTCACTATCACAGCTATATCTAGAGCCAAGTCTCCAGAAACCAGCCGAACCTCCTCCACTAACTCAGGAAGACCCTTGTCCCCTGTCTCCATCATGACAGTGAGCACAGCTGTAGCGTGCGAAGCATCTGCCTCCCCAGAACCTCAGGAGATGACCATGGGCCGAGCCGTGTTCAAGGTTACCCCCGAGAAGCAGATGGTCCCATCCCCTGTACGAAAGGGTCACGGCAACACGAGTATCATCACCACGACTGACGATAGCAAGATCCACATTCATCTAGGCAACAACATCGCCCCAAAGATGGTCGTCAGGCCGGTGGCTGCTGTCACAGAGAGCAAGGAAATGACCTTATCGACTGGGACAGTTTTGCGCTCGCCTCGTCAAATCACCACCACTACTACCAGGAGCACGCAGAGCAAAGTGATGAGCAGCATTACAATTTCTCCTGTTACGTCCTCCTCTTCCAGAACGACACAAGGCATGGTAAGTTTTCCTTCATCCAGCTTTGGATAATTCCTGTTTTCTTTAAGTTGGATCATCTCTTTTCCTTACCTTCTTCATTTTCTTTTACATTTTTGGATCAAAGAGTTGATAGGAACACTCAAGCTGATAGCGGTTTCCTAAGTTCACCATGAGCTTTTTTTCACATCTCTGGAGATGAGAGATAATGCAGCACTGTGTGTGGTGTTTCCCGGGACCCTTTTTACTCTGCTCTTTGTGGATCCGATGGGTAGTGTGACAGAAACGGGGCCATGTGCAGGTCTGAGAGCAGCAGAGATAATGAGGTGGAATTTTGCCACCCTGCTTTAATCAGGCTGTAATTTATAGTTGTTACACTGTGTTTACTGTTTACATTCACAAACAGCCGTGGCTCGGGGCCCTCTGCGCTCTGGAGGACACAAAACAGCTTGGCACCGTCAGCAGCGTACTGAAACCTGGCCTGGACAAGCACTCGCTCGCTCAGTGAAAAATAAATGTTTACATTTCTCATTTGTGCTGCTCTTTTAGCACATAAGATCAGTTACATTGCACTAATTTACAATTCCTGTTTCCTGCATGATTTTTACCATGAATCCATAACTTAGTGTCGGTGTGGCTCAACTGTTTTCATTCTCCTGCCTGAGAAACTGTACTCTCTCTCTATTGTCAAACAGACCGGGCACGATGCCCAGCCACCGCGCTCAGGGCTGACCCGCATCCCAATGTCCAAGAGCCTGAAGACGGGAAAGGCTGCACTGGGATCCCTGGGGGTCTCCGGTGGAGTGAAACTGGAGTCGCGGGCTGAGAGTCAGTCTATGAGGATAGAAGTTAAGAAATCCAGCGTGAATAGCAGTACTTTACAGAATGGAGGAAAAGCCTGAGAGACACAGTACCAAACGTATCTACATGGTGCTTCAGAGAGATTCATAGTAAAAGCTGTGGTGTTTGAGTACAACTCAACTATAGTTTACAAGGCATTTCTTTATTATTATTATTAAGCAGGAGACTGATTTTATACTTTTTATAAGGTATTTTCTACTTCTTTACTTCTTATTTGCATTTCTGCCATTTAGACTGAAACATCTATGATTTGTTTTGTTGTTTTTTACAGTGTGTTGTGATGGGCATTTGGGTAAGACTTTGCTGCTATCAATGGCTTCTTTCTTGGGGTGGATATTTAATCTATAATGAGTTTATTTGTTTTATATTAGACACAAAAAGTACACAATTATGTGAAAATTTGGTGCATTTCTAAAGGATTTGTATTGAAAATATTGTAAATAAAAGTGATATTAGAGCAAAGTGTGGTGTGATCATTTATGCAGACATTTATGTTAACTCATCTGTGTACCTGCAGTTGTGACAACCAGTGCTTCTTGCCTGGGCCTGCATCCAAGGATTGAGGGAAATGAAAAAATTCATTTCCTGTGCTTTACGTAAATATTTTTGGAATAACAAATATTCTGGTTGATTCCTGTAATATAAACAAAAATCTTTAAAAAGCAATGTGCACGAGGCCAGACAAAGAAAACAATGAGACAGTGACGGTGCAAGAAGCAGAGGTCGTGGAGGTAGATGTGCTTAAACACCTGGGGTCAAGCATCCAAAGAGAGGTGAAGGAGAAACCCGGAACAACATTTATTATGATGATGTGGGAACAACACCAACACGATGATGTCAGATCATCCGGAAAGCACTGCCAGGGGTGATTTGTGACAAAAGGATAGCAGCAAGAGGGAAAGGGAAAGTTTACAAGATGGCAGTGAGACCTGCTGTGATGCATGGTTTGGAGATGGTGACACTGAAGATTTTGAAGGTTTTCATTGGGAGTGACCAGGAAGTGAGGTTAGAGAGGTGAGGTTGAGATAGCTTGGACAGAGGAGACACTGGACAAAGGATGGTAAATATGGAGCTATCAGGTATGAAGAAAGGAAGAAGACAACAAAGAAGCTTCAAGGATGTAGTGAAGGAGGACGTGCAGAGGTTTGGTGTAACTGAGGAGGATTCTAGGGACAGAGTGAAAGGGTGGCAGATGAATCACTGTGAAAACCCCCAAAGAGAAGGAAGAAAGGCAGGTGGAGGAATGAACTGGAATATCTTCAGGGTTGAGCACTAAAGAAGTGGAAGGATCAAGAGGAGCTGATGAAAGAACATATTTTAAAACTACTGTGTGTAATATATGAATGGTAAATTGCTTTAACTTCAAAACTTTAAATTCTTTTTGCCTTGTTTTTTACATTAACTGGGCCAATCATATAAAAAGGACACATATAAAAATCTTTTAAAAACATGTGTAAATGTTCTGCGAGTGAGAAAAAAGGTTAAAAACAGTCAAACATGTAGAGCCTTCACGTTAAAACCCGAGCACAGACGCCTACAGGTACTATCAGCTGTCAGTGACAAAGGGGCGTTACCCTAATGTTTGCGATGATGTCACTACTACGCTACTTCTTGCTATTGGTTCGAAAGCTTCCGGCTTCTTCTTCTGGAGAGAGAACCGCAGTTGAAGGCAAACAAGAAGTCAGCGCTACAATGAGCAGATATTTTCATTAGACTGGGGGTAAAGTTCACTTCGCTCACAGTTTTACCCTTTGCCTAACCGCTCTGTGTCTTACTTGACGTGTGGGATTAACGGAGCAGCTCGGCTGTCTGTCAGAGAGGATTATTTAACTCGAAGCTGACCGCAGCCATGATGGCGTCGAGCTACAACGCTAAGGAAGAGGACGGACACCACTCCGGCGCTTCGAGTGGCACTGGCCTTTCGAAAAATAAGAAACCGGACAACACGGCGTTCAAACAGCAGAGACTTCCAGCCTGGCAGCCCATCCTCACAGCAGGCAGTGTGCTGCCGGCTTTTTTCGTCATTGGGCTCATCTTTATCCCCATCGGCATCGGCCTGTACGTCACATCGAACAACATCAAAGAGTTTGAGGTACAGTCGCGCTCCTGTCCGCCTTTAAACGACTCTGGCTTCTTCTCGGTTCTCCTACACAGCCCGGTGTAGCTACACACCGTTTATACACACAGTAAACCTGCTGAAGGAAGCTCACTAAACAGGAATAAGTGGTTCTTCGATAAGTGACGTAGCTTCTTTACGTCACGCAAATGTTAACAATGTTAAGTGTAAAGATGAACAACATAGTGTTGAAGTTCAGTTTGAAGCGCATTCATTCGACGTTACTTTTAAATGTGGTTGCTACACACTTGTATCAAAGGTCAATATTAGATGGTAAAAACATCAGAGACATGGGGAGTCGGCACCGCATATTTAATATTAATGAGGCTAGAAAGTGATCAGAATCACGGCTTATATCAGTGAGGCTGATCATAGTTTGGGCGGCAGTGTGGTTTAACAGCACCACAAACCACAGCCTCTAAAGTGGCTTTCACATGGCTTCAAAACAGTCTAAACAAAGCTGGACTAGAAGGTAAGAAACACAGGATGTGTCTGGGGTTCCTGCCTCGCAGTGGGCCTTTGAGGGCTGCTGTGATCATAAGTGATTGCTGCCTGTGCATTAAACAAAGTGTTCCTGTATTTGATTCAAGTCTGTACCTTCTTCTAGTCATGTTGCTGCACTGAATAGACGGAGCACTGAGTGTATTTCACCATCAGTTTATTTCCTCTTTGCTTCAGATCGACTACACTGGTGTGAGCAGTGACAGCCCGTGCTACAACTGTGCAAAGAACTTCACCTGGAACACCACAGAGCCCTGTGTCTGCACCGTCAACTTCACTTTGCTCCAGCCGTTTGAGGTGAGCTCAGATCCCCCACCAGCTTCCAGGCATTGGAAGTTAATGAATAATGCATGCATTTACCTGCAGGACAGAGAGTGCTGCTTGTGCAATCCTAACAATAATTGTCCATTAAGATCTATTTTGAGTACAAACAAAAAACACTCAAGGTTTGTTTAGAGGCTGCTTTACTATTGATTGTTGTAGGTTTAAAATATGCTCTGCAGCTTTCAGAAGGCTTCATTGATTATTTATAAAAAGCTCTCAGTTGCTCGTCTGCACTCGTCTCATTTAACAGCTTGCATTTAGCTTGTAAAATAGCATTTTTTTAAAATTAAAATGTTTGCGTGCTTCTTTTCTGAGAAGCAGAAGAAGTATTTGTATTAAGTACACTGCATCCTGAACAGTGAATCACCTGAAGGTGAAGTATTTTTGTCAACAAAGTTATTCACGTTCAACAGAAAATGGAATCATGTGCTCTTTCAGTTTAACAAACCTGATGAAGTGAGTTGTGTAGAAACGAACAGCAGCACTGATCAACAAAATAAATGAGCTGGGCTTTAAATGTTTATTTCAGCGTTCTCTTCATACTGAAATCAAACGCTTATGAATGTGCAAGATTAATGATTTTCTGGAGTGCTGCTCTCTTGTCGTTTTGCAGCAGCACTATTGTGTTGTACCATGTTATTTTTATATTCCTTGTAGATTTCCAGCACCTGTTATTGTCTCTGGCTGGAGTAGGTATACAGGTAATACAGGTATTTTATACCTGTATAAAACATTTTATACAGGTATAAAATGAGGTTATTTAAAATTTACTTTAGGGCTTTTTAGTCCTCATTTAACAGACAGCAGAGAAAATAGGGAGAGCGAGCAGGAATGAAATGGTTCAAATAAACCTGCGTGGACTCAAACCCAGGCCCCTGCAGTAAGGACTCCAGCCTGTGGTATATGGGTTGCTAACTCAACCAGGTGAGCTGTGGTGGTGCGCACAAAAAGCAGTTTGTAAAACTGGCCTGATTGCTCGAAACAAAGATGACACCGGTGCTGTAACGCTGTGGGAGAAACATCACTACCTGATCAAGCACCACAGCCTTTTATGAAGGCACAGACTGGCAAGAAGACGCATGTCCCACATTAAACAAAGCCCCTCTATGTTGTTAACCTTTTTACAAATGTATTATTTATTTTTAAATATGCATGGATATCATTGGATTTGGTTTTATCTCCTAGTCCCAGTAACCAGTGAGTTCAAATGAATTTCCATCACTGTTTTCCGAAGGGGAATCTTTTAATCTTGATGATTTTCTTGATGATTTATGTTGATCATAGAGATTGTGTGTAAGACCCTGTCACGGAAAAGCTGCTCATTCATCCTGGTCGTTACTGATTCCTAATTCTGTCAGCGATGCTGTCTTTTCTCTCGTACAGAGCAATGTCTTCATGTACTACGGCTTGTCCAACTTCTACCAGAACCACAGACGCTATGTGAAGTCCAGAGATGACAGACAGCTGAACGGTGACCTGTCTGCCCTGACGGTATGCTGCTGTACTTTTTGTGCCTATAGATAATTCAGAGAATCCAGTGAATGTTTCTTCCATCAGGTGAACATTATGTCCTTTTTCCAGGATCCCAGCAAGGAGTGTGAGCCGTACCGTAAGAGCGGAGATGTGTCCATTGCTCCGTGTGGGGCCATAGCTAACAGCCTTTTCAACGGTGAGTGTGTTGAACAACTTCACTTTCCCTCTCTCAGCTGTTTAGCTTAACTGGAGTCTTATCTACAGTTTAAAACTGCTGTGTTAAAGCTTTGTAGAGCCTGATATCTGTACTGAATATACTGATTATGTGTTTCAGACACTCTGGTGCTGTACTACGTCGATTCCAACAACAGCAAAATTGAAGTTCCTCTGGTAAAAAAAGGCATTGCGTGGTGGACGGACAAGCATGTGAAATTCAGGAATCCTGCTGGAAACAGCAACCTGACTTTAGCTTTCCGAGGTGACATCTGCACACAGTTCACAGGCCCCTGTAGTAGGGATGCACCGATACCGGTATCTGGTATCGGCCTCGATACCACATTTTCTAAAGTACTCGTTAAAAGTCGACCGATACCATGGTCTGAGACCTGTCTATGTTTGAGCGGCATGTAAGGGGTTAATCACAAGCGCCGAGTGAGTGAGTTGCACTGTCACTGTTTAAATATATATATTATTTTATTTATTTAACCTTTATTTAACCAGGAAAAAAATCCCATTGAGATTAAAAACCTCTTTTTCAAGGGAGTCCTGGCCATATACATATTCTGTAATATGTTGCATACAACATGCTTTTCATTTTAAATAATAATTCTTAATTCCAAACCAGTCCCTTGTTTTATTTTTTGTTAAATTATAGGACTAAAGCTGTTACCTGTAAATTTAAATCATGTTTTTATTAAGTACTCGGTATCGGCGAGTACTGAAATGCAAGTACTCGTACTCGTTTCCAAAAAAGTGGTATCGGTGCATCCCTACCTTGTAGGCTCGCAGGTTCGAGTTGCAATGACCAGCTGGGTTTTGTCTTCATCTCTCTCAGACACAGCGAAGCCGGTGAACTGGGCGAAGCCGGTGTACGAGCTGGACCCGTCAGATCCCGATAACAACGGCTTTATCAATGAGGACTTCATCGTGTGGATGCGCACGGCTGCATTGCCCACCTTTCGGAAGCTCTATCGCATCATCCAGAAGAAGTCTGGCACCACCCCAACTCTCCCCAACGGGAATTATATGCTGAACATCACCTACAGTATCCTTTACATTCCAGTAATCTCATTACTAGAGTTAGACATGCTGCTTTGAACAGGCTAGCGTGAGTTTTTTGTGTCTTTATAAAGCTTAACAGATCAGACGGTCTTTACTTGCAGTATCTCTGCTTCTTTGATTAGCACACGGAGAAGCTTTTGATTCAAGAGGTGTGCAGATATAAATATTTTAAACACATCTACATATACTCAAGTATCCACTCTGGGCCACAAATAGATTATTCTTTTATATTCCTTTATGGCCACAGTGTATCCATCTTCTGTTGGCCCTTACAGCAGGATAACGTGCCATGTCATAAAGTTGGTTCCTTGAATGTGATAAAGAGTTCAGTGCACTCAAATGCCCTGCAAAGTCAATGGATTTAAAGCAATAGAGACACTTTTGGGATGTGGTGAAACAGGAGTTTGTCCTTATCTCCAAAATCAAAATGTTCCCAGCACCTTGTTGAAACTGTGCCATTAAGTCTGTTGTGAAGACAACAGCAAGGCGTACCTAATAAAGTGTCCATTGAGTGTAAAGATATTTAAAAAGAAAATTTTTCTGGTTTCTCGAATCTCAGTAGATTAAGGGTGTATCGTTGTTCGTGTGTGTGTGCGCGCTCTGTCATTTCTCTTTAACCGCATGTAATCAGATTACCCCGTACTCAGTTTTGATGGTCGCAAGCGGATGATCCTGAGCACCATCTCCTGGATGGGAGGAAAGAACCCCTTCCTGGGCATCGCCTACATCACCGTGGGCTCCATCTGCTTCTTCCTGGGTGTGGTTCTGCTCATCATCCACCACAAATACGACAACCGCAACACCAGTGCAGATATCCCAAGCTAAACGGCGCGTTCCACGCTCGGGCCTCTGCATGCACGAGTGCGTACGCTGTACCAGGCTGTCGTGCGGTAGCGTCTCCAGTTTCTCATCAAAGCTGTGTTTAAGCGTAGCAAGGCGTCTCCGTCTGTCTCTGTGTATATAGCTTCAGGCCGATTTGCTGAGAATGTCTTTTTTTGTCTTCAGGTTTGCAGTCTTTTATTTATCTGAACATTATCAAAGTACCTGTTTCATTTTAGCAGTGCTTTGCGAATGGCTTAATTATTGAAGGATGTATGTAATTTTAATGCAAGTTTTTGTCCATATTATGTAAAGTTATATGTCCTGCTGATGAATGTACCGTAACACTTCGTTGACATACCTCTGTGGGTTCTGGGATTACCTTGAATACTGAAGGTGATTATGATTGCTTGGATAAATACTGATATTCAAGAGTCATAAAGCATTAATAAGAAGTAATAACAGAAATATGCTTTTCTGCCCTCCACTGTGACCGAGGAGCCAGTCTTTTATTTATCACTCATAAAACTTACTTTATACAGTATTCCTAATTCAAAGGTGGTGTCTCTGGGTGGGTGGAGCACAGGAATTCTTAATTTATTGTTTGTTAGTGGTTCGACCAGAGTGTGAAATCGTCTGATTGGTTAATGTTGACCAAACGATATGCACTTTAAAAGTGTCCCGTTTGTTCGTTTCCCCCTTGTTTCGCCCTTCTGGACTGTTCTTGGTTTTTTATGCTGTTAAAACTTTCAATTTGAGCTCCTTGGCTTTTTATAAGGTTTGTAGGGTCCAATTAAAGAACTTGGTCAATGTATCGCTGTCATTTGTGATTATAATGGTAGAACTCCCACTGCTTCCATTATCCATGCTACTGTGATTTGTAGGGATGTTGATGTGTTTTATTGGCCTTTATTAACTTAATGAAATAAGGGGAAACAATCCCCTCAAGAATTTAAACGCATAAAAAGTAGCACTTTATAATGATGTCACACTATTAGTAAAGTATTAGTAAGTGCTTAATTTGTCAGTTATATATCACTACTTCTCCTTAGTATGTCATTTATAAATCCAGATATATTTTAATGATCATTACCAGCAGCGATAGCTCTGTGTGGTGCAACAGTAACACATCTGTATTGATAAATGGCATACTAAGGAGGAGTAATGATATATGAATGAAACATTAGCTCATACCTTACTAATGCTTAATGGTGTGATGTTGTAAAATGTAATGTAAAAAACAGTCCTTGTACTTAAAGCCTCACCTGTGTGGACTGCACCACTTATCCAAGTAAGGAGGAGGTTGTGTTTAATGTGTCTCTTATACACTCTCCTACTCTTAATGCTTCTGTGCTCCTCTCACTGCTCTGGATTCAGTCGCGCCCGTCTTACCAGCTGATTACATCATCATCATCAGAACGTTGAATGAAATCTGACTGTCTCAGACACTGAGATACACGACAAAGACGATCATCAATAACACACCATGCTGATAATCTCTGGGAACTGGGGAAAATGGGGAGCTAACTTTTGTTAAGAAGACTTTTATCTGCTGTATTTATCATAAAAAACAGGTTTGTCAAAAGGCTCGAGCTAAACCTTTAAAAACTTAGATATGAAATAGATTAGACAGTAATTAGATCATGCCTAATTAACGTTATTATGAATTATGGACTGTATATACCAGGGGTAGGCAACTCCAGGCCTCGAGTGCCGGTGTCCTGCAGGTTTTAGATGTGTCCTTGATCAAACACAGCTGATTCAAATGGCTATATACGGTGGCCCCTAGAGACAAAGCACATGCAAACTCCAAAACACATGCAAATTCCAAAACCATGCAAACTCCAAAACACGTATCAAACTCCAAAAACTTGCAAACTTCCAAAACACAACGGAAGTGCTCCAGGACGCTAGGGGCAGTGTTGAGCTTTTGTTACCTAGTAACTACACAAGCCAGGAAGTACCAATGACCGGATTTGGGGTTTGCAGCCTTAAAGGCCGCATTTTAAGGCCGATTACGTCACAGCGACAAGAGAAGGCTTTCCCAATCCGGTTGTTCAGTCTGACGTCACTAGCCGTGTCTGGGTCTAAACTCCGCTGCAGGTCCATATATCAAACGATCACTGTGGCATTACTGAGAGTTGAAAAACTGTCTAAAGTCTTTCATCTTTAATAAAATGATCAGCGTTCTGCTCTACCAGGTGTAACAATTGAGTTTAACATCCAGGCATCCATGAAAACGGAATTTATGACATTTAACGGAGTTAGAAGTTAGCAGGGAGTTAGCTCGCTAGCTTCTATCTAAATACAATATAGCATGTCCTGACTGCGGGGTTTTGGAAACAAATTAAAACTGTACAGCTCTGTTATCACTTCCAGCATAATGACGATCCTTAATTTCCCTGAATTTTAAGGATGGGTCGGTGTAGCCTTCATGGCCCAACATATCCCAGACTTCATAGTGCGGTGGTGGTGTGGATAATTTTGCCGAAAAAAAAACGGTGGAAGCGGAGCAGGAGGAAGAGTAAACTTTCAGAAGTAAGTACTGAATATTATGTCACTTATTTATGCGCAAATATTTTTTTAATGAAGAACATTAAACCATTATTGTTGGCCACATGTCGGGAAAGTTATGTGACATTAGCGATGTCTGTACTTTCAGAATTAACTTGGTTTTAAAGCCTTTACTTTAAAAATATATATATAGTCGACCTTAATCTTACAGAGATGTGATGATTTTGTGGATAATTAAAGTCAGTCATATATCCACAAACACAACAAGCTGAAAGTCAGTGATGCTGCTCGGTTTGCAGTCCTGAATATCACGGCACAAGCAGGATCTCACTGCACTGTTTAACGTGTGTTTGAACGAGCTGACGGTTCACTCGTTAAGCTGAAAGAAAGATGCTTTAATCAGCAGGAGTCACACATGTGTCCACTGTACCATCTGGGAACTCTTCTTGTTTCGTAATAACACAAACACTAAATCCTCCTTCTTTTGTGCTGTTTTGTAGCAGTGTATACACCTGAGACTGTCACCTGTCTGTCTGTCCTGCACTCGCTCTCTGTTTCTTTCTCTCTGATTGTGGAATAAAAGTATGAACATGTGTTTATAAGTTACACTTGTGTTTGAATCCTGCAGCTTATCACACATTTGATTTCCATGTGTGACGACTGCAAGTGTCCAGAGTGAGGACAGACTGAGGGACCCACTGCTGCACATCATCTGTGAGGCTTTGCACCCCTGATGATCCACCAGGACAAACTCAGCAGTGTGTGAGGAAGAGGAGGAGGAAGAGCCAGCAGCAGCTGACAGATGGAGAGAATAGACAGACTGTTCCCTGTTTGTGAAGGACTGCTAGGAAAGTTTAACAATAACTGTCTGTCCTGAATCAGTCTTATTAGGTAATGTTCAAATAATTTATCATTCCAGTGTTTTCAGTGTGGGAGAAAGTACTCAGGGCCTTCAAGTTACACACTATGAAAGGCAGCAACAAGTGTAATGATTCAGAAACCTAAAGTATGTATCAGCAGCAGAATGGAGCTAAAAATAAATGTTGGTTTCAGTTCTATGAAGCTTTGAGTATTTTGGATCAGTAGACTGCTGTGTTTGTTGCATCATATTGCTGTAATTGTTTATATGCTTTATATATTCTGAGGTAAGTTGATCTATAGTGTTACATCATATTCTATAAGGATGTATGTGTTTGTATACTTTCTCAGCCTCAGTATACTTTAGTCAAATCACACAAAGCTCTTGTAGAAACAAACAAACAAATGAACAAAATATGTTCTCCCTCATTTCTGTCAAACCAAGTTGTATGACACGTTTCCAGCGGTTAGTATCATGGTTGCTAGGCAACCTGGGAAGCGCGACGGAGACTAGACGTCCCATACAGACAAACTTGCCGTTTATTTTGCAAATCGAGCTCAACACTGCCCCTAGCGTCCTGGAGCACTTCCGTTGTGTTTTGGAATTTGCAAGTGTTTTGGAGTTTGCAAGTGTTTTGGAGTTTGCAAGTGTTTTGGAGTTTGCAAGTGTTTTGGAGTTTGTACGTGCTTTGTCTCTAGGGGCCACCGTAGCTATATGACCTCCTCAACATGTCTTGCAGTTCTCCAGAGGCCTGGTAATGAACTAATCATTTGATTCAGGTGTGTTGACCCAGGGTGAGATCTAAAACCTGCAGGACACTGGCACTCGAGGCCTGGCGTTGCCTAAACCTGGTATATCCCATTAAATTCATCTTTTAGCTGAACTCACTGCAACGGACAGGGCTGACCAGCAGGTGTCGCCATTTGGCTTTATCAGCCTTTAAGGGCCTAATTGTAGGTCCGGTGGTTCCCACAGACAGACTGAGAACACAGAAGGAGAAAAGGTGAAGATCTTTCAGTATTATTGTGTGGTTTTGGGATGATTTGAAGTGAAGTTGTTTCTTGTCGGTTCACTTTTGACCAACGCTGCTGTTTTGTGCATCATTGTGATCACAAGACTCCTCCAGCAGTGTGGCGTCTTAAAGCTTATTATAAGTAAATTACAAGCAAATGTTTGCTTGAAATATTGTTTTTACTTTATGTGAATCTTTAGATGGAGGTACAGGATGACAGGCTGTATTTCTCAGTGAGTTACAGTAAAATGAAAGGGTCTCTGGATTTGCAGGTTCTGGAGACAGAACCTTGACGTTTTTGTAGCCTGGAGGATAAATATCTGTGAGATACCTGCTGCATTATTGAAAGATCTCCGCCTGTAGGGGAGCTGGGCTTTAGTAGTTATTCTTGTATGCTGCAAGTAAAAAATCTTGCAAAGTCAACATTCAGAGTGTGCCAGGCTTTGCTGATCTTCCATAATACTAGAAATCTGGAGCCCAAAACAAACACTGTTCCAGCACATCATTTGATTGCTGTGGTTAACCAGAGTCGAGCTCTTTGCAAGCAAACTTTAGACATTCTTGTTGGGAGAAATTTGCTCAAATCATTTTTATATTATTTCTTTGTTTTTTTTAAATGCACGAACACAGAAACTGAAGCCTTTGAAGCAATAATGTGCTTTCATTCCTCCCCCTCTTTGATCAGGAGGACAACAGCATGCCCATCATCATCTGAAGGGTGGGTCAAAGGACGCTCCGCTCCACAGAGCCGCAATAAGTCTCAGTGTGTTTGGTATGTCAGCTCTCGTCTGAGATTTGATGAGTCAGGCTAATTTCAGATGTCTCACTCTGTGTTTTGGATAAAACACGCCCGCGTCCCGACCCCAGCGTTTTAACCCAAACTGTCTTTTAAAGATAAATGCCTGTAATTTGACGATGCATCATCGAGGCTGTTTAAAGTCTAGATTATTAACTTGTGTTGTATCTCGGTTACATCTGTAATTCTTGTTTGATCTCCTCACCAGGAGTGGATATGTTGAGCTGTTAGTGCTGTGATGCCCAGGAAGCCACAGTGAAACAAGATAAATAAAAAGCATTCCCAGTTAATTACACCAACATGGCTGTAGGATCCCATGCAGACCCCTTTGCATCCTCTTGTCTCTAGTCTGATCACTGATCACTGTTATAGCACCCTCCTGGGTGTTTGTCTCATGGTGTAACTCTGTAAAAGTTCAGTATCAGATGCTTGAGATCACTGCTTATTTATTGTACAGATAAATCACAGTCACTCTCTTTTTAAAGGAATGTTGGTATTTTTAATTAAAACCTACAAAATCATTTATTCTATGGGAAAATATCCCAAGAATTTCCCGGTGTCCTGCAGGTTTTAGATGTGTCCTTGATCCAACACAGCTGATTTAAATGGCTAAACGACCTCCTCAACATGT